TAAATTTCCCTTGATAGGCATTGTCCATTTTGCATTTCCACCATCAGTGTATGGGAATTCCTGTTTCCCTACAGCCTCACCAACAGAGTGTGTAGTCAAGCTTTCCCCTTCCCTTCCCTTCCCTCCCCTCCCCTCCCTTCCCCTCCTCTCCCCTCTTCCCCTCCCTCGTCCCCTCCCCTCCCCTCTCCCCTCCCTTCTCCTCCCTTCCTTTTCCTTTTTCTCCTTCTTCCTTCTTCTTCTTTCTTCTTTCCTCTCCTTCTCCTTCTCCTTCTCCTTCTCCTTCTTTCTTCAACAGAGTTTTGCTCTTGTTGCCCAGGCTGCAGTGCAAAGGTGTGATCTTGGCTCACTGCAACCTCTGCCTCCTAGGTTCAAGCGATTCTCCTGCCTCAGCTTCCCAAGTAGTATAGGCACCCATTACCATGCCCAGCTAATTTTTGTATGTTTAGCAGAGATGGGGTTTCACCATGTTGGCCAGGCCAGTCTTGAACTCCTGGCCTCAAATGGCCTGCCCACCTCGGCCTCCCAAAGTGCTGGGATTATAGGCATGAGCCACCACGCACGGCCGGGGTTTTCTGCATTTAATATGTGAGAAATAGTATTTTGGTCTAACTTTAATTTGCATTCCTCTTATGAGAAAGTGAACATCTCTTCATATACAGAATAGTCATTTGTAGGTCTTTTTCTAAGAATTGACAACTTGTATAACGTTGTTAGACTTTTTTGTATTTGCAGAAGCTTTTTAAAAATATATGTTATAGTGACTTTTCTTTGTAATAAGTTACATATAGTTCTTACTAGTTTGTCATTTGACTTTTTACTTTTTTAGTATTTTTAGTATTTCCCATGAAGGTGTTTGCATTTTCTTTTTAAAAATGTAATCTAACATTAGTATTTTTCCTTTTATTTCTAGATTTTGAGTCATAGCTAGGAAAATTTTCCCCATTCCCAGGTTCTAGTAGAATTTACTCATGCTTTCTTCTAGTATTTGAAGTTTTTTTCCATCTAAATAATGATTACATTTGGAATTTATGCTGGCGTACAAGGTGATCTAAGTTTTACTTACGCAGGTGTACAGTGTGATGCAAATTGTGTATATGTATCAAAGTTTTCATTTCCATTTTGTTATCTGGTTATCCCAATATAGCTTACTAAAAAGCACGTCTTTCTCACTCATTCAGGATGCTGCCTTCATCAAAATGGAAATATCCATACACAATTAGGTCTGTTTTTGAATTTTGTGTTCCATTTCATTGGTCTTTTTATTCATTCGTCATTACCAAGTGGTTTTAACTACGGAAGCTTCATAACGTGTTTCAAGGTCTGGTAGGGCTGATAGGACTCTCCCCTCCCTCCAAGTTTCTTCTCTTTTGAGGAATTTTCCTGGATATTCTTCCTTTTTTCTTCATCCCAATGAACTTTACAATTAAGATATCTAGCCTACTCCTCCCCTCCAAGAAAAGATGGTATTTTTATTTTTTGGATTACAATCACTTATATATTAATCCAGGGAGAACTCCTTTATGATGCTGAATCTGCCTAAATAAGAATATATATCTTTCCAGTTGTTCAAGTCTACTTTTATGTGTTTCAGTAATGTGTTATCATTTTTCTCATATAGGTTTTGGACTTCTTTTTAACGAGTCTAGTTAGTTTACGCTTTCATTCTCTTTGCTGTCATAATTGGGATCTTCTATTTTATCTTCTAATTGGTTTTACTTATTAATATAAAAACCTTTGATTTATATGTTAATTTTAAGGGAGAACACTTGCTACCCAATACACTCATGTGGGCTAGCCTTAGCTGCAGACCAACTTCTGCCTTTCTGAACCAATGTTCTGCCTCTACTTTGCTATCTGGGACTCTTCCAGCTCGCTCTCTCCTTCTTCACCTTATTCAAAAGACAGTAAGAACTTGCCTCTCCCCATTTGATTCCCAGCAGAACAAAGCTCACCAAGTAACACAGACACAAAGCAAACCTCTGACACTGAACATTTAAAGACAAGTTGAAATGCTGATAAGATAATGAATAACAGAGGAGGTGCTGAAGGAGAAAAATGATCTATATAAATTTGGGGGAGGTTCCAATTTAAATGGCTTTAATGAAGTCCTCCAGCGACTTCCATATTATCTTCCTTCTGCTGGAGATGAGTGGAGAGGATGGAACCCAAGTGGGAGTATTCGAAACAGACCATCTCCCACGCTGCCTCTTCATTGCTCCCTCCTAAGAGAGGTGACTCACTTACATGCAATTTGATACATCGCAAACGGGCAGGGAGTGGCTATCCTTAGATTCATGTGGTGGCCAGTCTAGTACCTTATAACTATTCCATCATGTTTTCAGTAGATGTTTCGAATTATTCCTTTTTACATTGTCTTGAAATAGTACCTGTCATTATCATGTGGTAGTGAGGACGTTGATATTTCTTAGAATCATTAGTGGCTGTGAGAGGAGGCTATCTTCTTCAGTTTTGTTAAGAAACCCATTGTATCTTGAGAACAGTTATTGGGATCTGGATCTCTGAGCCCTGCTGATTTTGCTGCCTCCCTTCCCCAGGACACCTGCTGCAGCAGTGTCCTCTGGCTCACTTCCCTAGTCCCTCCCACTTCTAATCTCCCCTCATGGCCCTTCACTCTGGACTGACAGAGGGGCCTGTAGGAATATTACCCAGTCAGGGGATTACAGGGTAGAGACACCATAGCTTATTTATTTATGTATTTATTTATTTAATTTTTTTGAGACAGAGTTTCACTCTTGTTGCCCAGGCTGGAGTACAATGGCGCGATCTTGGCTCACCGCAACCTCTGCCTCCCGGGTCCTGGTTCAAGCAGTTCTCCTGCCTCAGCTTCCTGAGTAGCTGGGATTACAGGCACACACCACCACACCCAGCTAATTTTTGTATTTTTAGTAGAGACGGGGTTTCACCATGTTGGCCACGCTGGTCTCGAACTCCTGACCTCGTGATCCACCTGCCTCAGGCCTCCCAAAGTGCTGGGATTACAGGCATGAGCTCCTGTGCCCGGCTGATCTTTTTATTTCTAAAGTGCAAAGCACATAGTAGGAGCTCAACACAGATGGTTAAGTGAAATGAATGAATGCATGGATGCATGCATGAGTTCATTAGCCAAAGAGTTCTGGTACATCTGCACTTGACTGTCTCCCAGCTGTGTCCTCTAGGGCAATCCTGAAGAGGAAAGAGGTTTTGCCAGTTGCTTCTGTGGTGGGGTGGGGGGGTCCCTAACATCTTCCAAGTTTGCACAACTTCTTGTGTGTATCTCTACATTGCTTTACTCCACAAAGTTGTCTGTGAAAGGGTTGAAAATTCAGGTTGCAAATGAGAAATGCTTGTTGGTGTTTGGCCTTCCTGGCATCCTCCCTTTGTGTAACTGTCCCTGTAGTAGTGCCCCTGCAGGTGGCATCATCATTTTTCTTACTCCTTTAGAAGCCCACTCTTTGGAAAAGGTCTGGTAAATTTCCTCACAGTGGTAAGTAGTATCACCCAAAAGGTTCTGGGTTGCCCTTCCCAGATGTACTTGCACTGTGATAACAGACATAGCCTGAGACTAGTGGCTCCAGACTCTGCAGTCTGTGGGAGGTGGAGTGGAGGGTGAGACTGAGGGCCATCTCAGGAGCCCTGAAAGGACAGCAGGACAGGATCCACGCTGGGGACTGGTCCTTATTTGTTGTATGGACACCCTCCCTGCCACTCTTCTCTGGCCACTGAGTGGCTGTTTAGTCCACCCTGTCCAGGTGGGAACTGGCCACCCAGCCCACTCCTCACTTAGTGTACCATTTCGTGTCCTTTAATTATGGCCAAATCTCTGTGTCTCTTGAGAGTGTAGATTCCTTAAGGGTAGAGATTGGGTCTCCTGATTCTTTCTAGTGCTCCTAAGTGCTTGCTATGAGGCTGCAATAGTCTGAATGTTCACGTCCCCATGGACTTGGGGGCATGTCCAGGGAATTCACATATTGAAACAATCCCCAATGCAATGGTATTAAGAGGCGGGGCCTTTAGGAGGTGATTAGCTCACGAGGGCAGCGCCTTCATATGTGGGATTAGTATCCTCACAAAAGAAGGTTCTTGGTCACCCCTTCTGCCACATGACGACTCACAAGAAGGCGCTATCTACGAAACAGGGCAATCCCTCACCAGACACTTAATCTGCTGGCACCTTGATCTTGGACTTTCCAGACTCCAGAACTGTGAGTAGTAAATTTCTGTCATTTATTATTATTATTATTTTGAGACGGAGTCTCGCTCTGTCACCCAGACTGGAGTGCAGTGGCGCGATCTTGGGTCACTGCAAGCTCCGCCTCCCAGGTTCATGCCATTCTCCTGCCTCAGCCTTCCAAGTAGTTGGGACTACAGGCGCCGGCCACCACGCCCAGCTAATTTTTTGTATTTTTAGTAGATATGGGGTTTCACTGTGTTAGCCAGGATGGTCTCGATCTCCTGACCTCGTGATCCTCCCATCTTGGCCTCCCAAAGTGCTGGGATTACAGGTGTGAGCCACCGTGCCCAGCCAAATTTCTGTCATTTATAACTTACCCAGTCTAGGGTTATAGCAGCCCGAGTGAATGAAGACACAGGCTTTGTAGCCAAACCACGAAGCAGTACACCTATCTCAGAGCCTATCTAGTCTTCCACGGGTCTCCAGTTAGCCATATGTAGCAGACTGTGTTTTCCAAAAATAGCCACAGCAGCCTTTCTGCTCCCAGGTGCTTCTTCAGAATCATGCCACTCGCCATCAAGAGGTGGAGTCTGGCCGGGTGTGGTGGCTCACGCCTGTAATCCCAGCACTTTGGGAGGCCGAGACACGTGGATCACTTGAGGTCAGGAGTTCGAGACTAGCCTGGCCAATATAGTGAAACCCCATCTCTACTAAAAATTACAAAAATTAGCCAGGCATGGTGGTGCACGCCTGTAATCCTAGCTTCTTGGGAGGCTGAGGCAGAAGAATCCCTTGGACCCCAGTGGCAGAGGTTGCAGTGAGCCGAGATGGTGCCACTGCACTCTAGCCTGGGCAACAGAGCAAGACTCTGTCTCAAAAAAAGAAAAAGAAAAGAAAAGAAATGGAGTCTATTTTCCCTCCCCTTAACCTAGGCAGGTCTCTGTGTCTGCCCTGATGAATACAGTGCAGCTGAAATGATATGATGTGACTGCCGAAATTTCAGAGAAGACCAAAGGTCTGCTGCCTGGCTGATTCTTGTTAAGCTCACCCTGTGTATTAGTTACCACGGTGCTGTGAACAACCCCAACTATTCTGAGTAACGAGACCACACGGAGAGGTGCATGGAATGGAACTGAGGCCCCCCACCAGCCAACAGTCGGCACAGATCGCCAGGCAGGGGAGCCAGAGTCTTCAGAGGATCCCAGCCCTAGCCCTGAAGCTTTCCAGCAGAGGCCTGACACTGTGGAGCAGAGACAAACTGTCCCTGTTCTACCTCGTTCAAAATCCTGATGTGCAGGAGCCGCAGACATAAGAAAAGATTGTTTCCTTCTATTGAGTTTGGGGGTGATTTGTTCTATGACTCTAGTCACTAGAACACTGGGAAATAATGAAGAAGCTGCTTCTTTGTGGGCCTGGTTTTTCTCGTCATTCAGGTCCATTTCGCAGAAAGGGAGAAGAAAGAACTGGTACACTCCACTTCCCGTTCTCCTAGTCCACCCTCCCTCATTCCTCGTTCCTTCTTATCAGTGCAACCTCATTCCCCCAGGAAAGCCTTCTCCTTCTCTGTACCACTCCCCTCCCCAAGCTCACCTCCTAGCTTGCTCAGGTCTCCAATTACCGGCTCCCACAGCACGCTGGATTTTCCTTTACCCAGTTTGTGATTATATGTTTGTTTGTGGTTATTAATGAAACATAAGCTCCCCAAGGGGAAAGATCTTGTAGGTGTTGCTCACTGTGGTGTCGAGCCACTTAGCACAGTGCCTGGTACTGATTGAGTGAACCAGACTGGTCAAAGGTCATACACTTAGTACTAGATCTAGGACTAGAACCTGGTGTCCCAGCACTCAGTCGAAGGCTTCCCTGGCCACACCAGTTTGCCTCCACTCCAAACCTTCTGCTGCTTTTTTCAGTGCCCAAACTTCTGACCATCTAGAAATTCAGGCACGGTGTCTACAGAGTTCTCCTCCAACCAAAAACACTCTTGTCTTCATCTCGACAGCCATCTTCTTGCCAAAATAAGCCAGGAAAGGTTATGTGAGTGTCTGGAGTCCAGCAGGAGTTGAGCTGGTCTGAGAAGAAAAACAGAGAAGAAGGAAATATTCTAAAACGTCGATTTGTTTAAACTTCTTCACAAACTTTACAACACAAGGAAATCAACAGAGACAAGCCCGTAATGAAGTAATCAGCCAACGTGGCTAATATTCCAGCAACGAGGAATGATTCCCTACATGTCATGGGGCAGATATGAATAGGGTCATTAAAATATAGCCAAGGAGGGGAGCGAGAGTTTACTTTTTCTGTCTCCTTAGAGTCTGTGTTCTGAAAGCTCAGCAGGAATTTAAACAAATAGCACAGAGGAATGGTGAATCTGATCATACTTAAAGAAAAATCCCCTTTCAAACTTCTCTTTAAATCACTGGCTTCTGCAAGTTTTGCTTTTTAAAAATGCTGCTGACTTTTTTCCCCAAAAACAAAATTAGCATCAAATTGTTCTAATATTTTTCTGCATTTTTTTTTTCTCTAGGTCAAGAAGAAATTGTTGCTCCATCATATAAGTGAATGTCAGGAGGAGGAAGGAGGATGTTAAGGAATGAAGCTCTAATGCATCCTCTTTGATTAAAAAGTAAAAGAATAAAGTTAGCAGAGGATAAAAGGTACATGGAGAGAGCTACCCACGAAAAGGGTTGCACTGGTGAAATGGGCCTGTGTAGGTAGGTCATGTCCCCTCAGGAAGGGTAGCATTTGGTCCCTTGCATTTCAAATAAAATGCAATTTTAGGAACAGGGGCTGAAGGGAGAGACACTTCCACCACCTGAACAGGGCAATTTTTAAAAATTTAACTTAATTAATTAATTTTTTTGAGACAGAGTCTCGCTCCATCACCCAGGCTGGAGTGCAGTGGCGCCATCTTGGCTCACTGCAACCTTTGCTTCCCGGGTTTGAGAGATTCTCCTGCCTCAGCCTCCCAAGTAGCTGGGATTACAGGCACGTGCCACTATGCCTGGCTAATTTTTTGTATTTTTAGTAGAGACGGGGTTTCATCATGTTGGTCAGGCTGGTCTTGAACTCCTGACCTCAGGTGATCCCCCTGCCTCGGCCTCCCAAAGTGCTGGGATTCCAGGCGTAAGCCACCGCGCCCGGGCCAACAGGGCAAATTTAACTGAACTTACAGTACAACCACCCGAAGCTCTGGGAGGATGGCAGAGTGCTCTGACCTTAGACAAATTACTTCACTTTTTAAAGCCTCAGTCTTCCCACCTGTAAAAACACGAGAAGAGAACCTTCCTTACAGAGCTGTGAAAATCCAGTAATACAAAGAAAATATAACATCACCTGGCACTTGGTAGAGTGTTCTACAAACGTTAGGAAGACAAAAACCCGAAATTCCCCCCTAAGACCCTCTTTGGGTGAGACCCCGGGGCCCTGGAGAGGGTGGCAGGCCCGGGGGTGTGGGGAGGACACTTTAGCCAGCTGCCCCCAATGCTCCTCCAAGCCTGGCAGCCCCGTTCCGGGCTGTGGTGTGACTTGAGGGCCCAGGGCTCCTCACCGAGTTTGCTTAAGCAAGTTCTTTCACACACAGCCCCACATACAGTTTGGCTAGAAAATTCAATGAGGAGTTTCTTTCTTCCTTCTTTCTCTGTTGTTGTTGGGTTCTGATTACTTCCATCTGGCTTCAGCGGCTCGAGTGGAGTCTTTAAAACACAAAACACAACAAAAACCCACCCTGCAGGACACATGCACCAAACCTAGAAGGGCTGCTTCGCTTCTCGCCAGCGTGTGCTCAGATGGCGACGAGTGCTAGCCGCGGCGGGGGGCGCCTCAGGACCCCCGGCACCTGCGCTCGCTGCCCGCGGGAAGAGGGTCCGCTTGGACCCAGCCCCCGCGTCCCCTCCCTGGCGTCCCCGGCTTCCGCGCCAGCGCCCAGAGAAGCGGGCGCCCTGGGAACAGCGACCCAGGCATCTCCCCGTGGAGGGAAGTGGGAGGTGGGGAGGGCGGGGGATTTCAGAGATTGAAAACAGAGCAGCCCTTGCGCCTCAGCCCCGGAGCTCATCTGACTTGAGTTAGCGACACCCCCAACCCCCCACCTCGTCGTCTAAAAAAAAGTGTCGGAGATTGGCGCGTCCTCTGGTTCCTTTCTCGAACTTTCCTTGTAGGTGCGTTTTCTTTCCTTGGTGCTGGGTGGGGAGAGTCCCTGTGATCCCCCTTTCCCCTCCCCCCGCCCCGGCGGCGTTCGGATCCCCCTGCGTCCCCCGGCACGGAGCGGGCGGGCAGGCGGGCGGGCTGGCGGGTTCGCGGGGCCCTGGTGTGCCCGCACCGTGCGCGCGGGGGCGCTGCGCCGTCCGGCGGCGCTGACGGATTGCGGGAGTGCCGGCGCTCGCCAGCCGAGGCAGCACGGCTCCGCGGACTTTTTTTCGAACTCCCATCAATGAGACTTCGAGGAGGAGCGGGCGGCGGCGGCGGCGATTGCGGGCGCGGAGGAAGGCCAGGAGCCGCGGGAGGAGCCGGAGGAAAGAGCGCGGGCCGCGCGGCACGCCGGTGCCTCGGAGAGCCGCCTGCTAGCCGGCGGTAGGGGCTGAGCGGCGCCCGCCCGCCTCTCGGTCCCCTCTTTCCTGGCTCGCCCCGCCCCGGCTGGCCGGAGCCCCGGCACAAGGCAGCCAGCCGAGGGTCGCCGCACCAGCCAAGGTGGGATGGGGGCCCACAGCCACCGCCCGGCGCCCGAGAGGCCACCTGCGTGCTAGAGGCAAACTTTTGTCTCCCTCGGTAAAGTTACATTGGTCTTCTTTTACTTGCTTTTCGTGGCGAAGCGCCTCCCACCTCGGCCAAGCGCGGGCCGACTGGGATGCTGTGCGGTCTCGGAGGGTCCCTCGGCCGGGCACCCGCGCCTCGGCCTTGGGATTGGGGCACTGGGCTTCGGGGGACTCGAGGTTATTGGGCGCGACCCCGCTTGGGGCTCTGGACAAGCAGGGCGGGGACGTAAGGAGGGTCCTGGGGCTTGGAGCTCGTGGTCCGGGGTCGATGTTGCACCCCCTCCCTACCTGGGGGAGAGCGCCACTCTTCTCGGGGTGCACAGCGGCCCGGCCTTCGCGCGCCAGCCGGGGGCTGTTTTTTCAGGGGGTGGAGGATGGGATCGGAGGCTGGGATGCCCCGAAGCTGGCGTAGGTGGGCATGGGAGCGTGTCTGCGGGCGTGCTGAGCGCGGAGGGGCTGCAGCCAGCCACTTGAGAACTTCGAACTCCACTTCTCCGCGCTGCGCGTCCCGAAGCCCTGCCTTTCTTTCTTCCTTCCACGCTCCTTCCTCCCCCTCGCCGGGCCCGGCCGCCCCCTCCCCCTCCGCTGGGCTCTCCTCCTCGGCACCCCCCCTCTTTGCCTCTCTCCTCCTCCTCTCCTGCCCTCGGCCCTGAGATCCGCTTGACTTCCCAAAGGGATCCGCACGTAATCCTTTGCCGGGTCCTCCGGTTCCCCCACACCACCTCACTTTCATCCCTGCCCCCCTACTCATCGTCTCCCCCCACCCCCGACAATCTCTCAACAAGTATATTTGCTGAGGAATTTGAAAAATCCACTACTGCAACTTGATCTGTATGTGATGGATGGGGAGAGGCGCGGAGAGAGTTGGGCGCCAATCCTATTAAGGGTTTAGAGAGGGGAGCCTTTTCCCCGGACGGGGCGGGGGCGGGGAGCTGGGAGGGAGCGTGTGCTTGCGTGTGTGAGTGTGAGTGCGCCCGCCGCTCCGGGGAGCTGGGAGTCCACCCAGCTCGGCGCCTTTCAGCCCGGCGGTAACTGCTGTCATTTCCTAGGAAACCTGACTTTTACCGCGTGGGGAGCTGGGGATGAAGCCCGTGCGCCTCACCCTGGGTGATCGGTCCCTGAGGCTCTCGGGGACCTCAAGCCCCCCACGCAGGGTGCCTCTCTCCACTACCTTCTCTTTTGTGTAATTGTTCTGTGGCTCCTAGAGTTGATCCCAGCTGGAAAAGTAGACCTGTCCCTAGTATCCGGTCCCGCGCCCTGGGAGTCTTGTAGGCGCCCCTCTGTCCCCCAGCCCGGGCATCTCACTCGATGCGCGATCTCTGGCACGGGCTTTGCAGCTCGGTGGCCGCAGCGGTGTCCCGGGCCCCTCTCCGCCGCCCTTGCCGGGCGTGTGAAGGTTTAATCCCGACAGCTTCAGATAAAGGGAGCAGTTGTAAAACGCTCATAGGCTGTTTGCAGATGAGGCTCTGGGGGATGTAGGAGAATTTGAAAGTAAACGTTTCCTTCGCAAGCGGCATAAAATAGTGTTTAAACAAATATTGTATTGGCATGCTCAGGGGGCTCGGTGCCAAAAAGTAAAGTAAATAAACTGTGAAATCCAAAATATACAGCGGGGAAAGCGGAGGAATAGGCGGGTTTGTCACAGGCCTCCCTGATGAGACCAGTTTGTTCCAGCCACCTCACCTGCCAGCCTTCTCTCCGCCCATTTCCTTACCTTGCTGGGAGTTCCCTTGGCTGGGTTTCCCTGTGTCTGGGGGCAGGCCCTCCCTGGGGCCTGGGAGCGGCTTTGCAGTTGCTTGTTTAGGGGGACGCTCACGCTGTGGCTACCTGGGCCAGACTCTGCAGGGAGGGGAGGACACCCTGGCTATGCCTGGCTTCTTTGAGTTTGGAGGCTCTTTATTTAGGCTTTTCCCAGCTTCTGGTCTGTCCTGGGGCAGTCATTCTAGAATGTGGAATCCAGATCCATCAGGGATCTTCTCTTCTCTTTGACTATGCTTCTCGTGCCTCTTTCTTCATCGTTCTTGCTTTTGTTTTCCTAGACTTGCCGCTTCTCTCTTGAGGGTTACAGGAAATTGTGGAGATGTTTTCCCTGGGATTCAAATTCCACTCAAACCCAGCCATATGGAAAGTTGTCGCTTGTCTGATGAGTTTAAAGTTAATTATATTTGGTAAGATTTAGGGTGGTTTTATTTTCCCCTCTGCTTCGAGAAATATGCCAGTTTCATGAAATTATTTCGTGATTTTAGGGGGATTTAAGCTAATAAAGGGAAGATCCTACATTTGAAAGAGCCCAACTGCCCAGGAGGTATCCCTCAGGTGAGCCAGCCTTCAGCTGGGCTAGCATCTGAGTGAGCGACTGTGGTCAGAACAGTCTATTTGCAAAAAGCCTCTTGGAGATAATTAGAATAATAGGTAGAAAGAGCCTCCCAAGTCAGGGAGCCGGGCTCCCAGGCTCACCAAGGAACAAGGTAAGACTGCTAGAGATGGTTTTATCCTCTGTGGGAATTGACTTGACAGAATTTGCAGAGGGTTCAAATTCCTTCAGCAGAACCTTCTGGGCTGCTCCCAAACTCACTCTGCTCCGGCCTTGAAGGGAACTCTTGACTCGTGGCTTCCTTGGAGCTTGTGTGGAGTTAGTGAGGCCCTCGTGGCCAGGCAGCCTTGGAGTGGAGTGCCACCTCACTCTCTCAGGGATGCTCTGGTCCACTGGTGGAGAGAGCACTGAATGGAGAGTCAGTCCTTTGAGTTGCTTGGTCAGAAGAGGGGGCCGCAGGGCTTCTGGTCAGCAGCTCATTGCCTGGCTGTGGGGTTCTTGGGGGCTGTGTACTGTAGCTGGCTTGTTTGCACTGCAGACTGAAAAATACACAAATACTTCACGCTTTTTGTACTCCCACAAGTGCCCTGTACACAGTGCAGCCCCTGGGGCTGGATTAGCAAACCAGGGATTCAGCAGGCAGGCGGACAAAATTGGATATTTGCCTAATAAACACCCTTCTTCCATCGCCCCCCACCCCCGCCCTGGGGGTACTCCAGGGGAGAACTTCACTCACAGATGCCAGCAGTTCCCTTTAAATGGGGGTAGGAGGTTGTCATGTGCACTTTGAAAGCCTGTGTGACCCCCTCACACCCAGCTGCCTTGTTAAAGCCTAGAATCGGAGTCCTACATCCTTGTGTACTCTCTGGGTAGGGCAGCTGGCCTTTTCCTTGGGAAAGTGTGTTTAGCCCGGCTTCCTTTCATCTGCATGGTGCTTGCTGCAGGGAGGTGGAGCAAACCAGCTTTGCTTCTTAGAGGCTGTGGGGAGGAGAAAGGGTTTCTACCTGGGCCAGTGCCTGTTTCCTAGTGGACAAGGGGCAGCCAGGCCAGGTGGACCTCGCTGTGGATAGCTGCAGCTGTTCCCGCTGGGCCAGGGCCCTTTGAAAAGGAACCCGGGTGAGCACTTCCCCCCCCTTCTTCTTTTCACTAAGTGTCAGAGGCATGGACAAGTGAAACACGTGAAGAATGCCAAAGAGAAAAACAGTGTTCTCAGATTCCAGAAAATTCAGAGGCAAAATAGGTGACTGTACCAAAAACCAGAATGTACGGCGATTTCGGTTGCTCCTGAAATTGCTCCTGCACTTCTAAAGAAATCGGGGAGGAAAAACTGCTAATTGTTTCCTCAGGCTTGTTTAACAGATTTGAGAAAGGGTCATCGGACATTGATGTTTGAGAGTGTCCTTGGAAAAAGAATAGCACCTTCAACACTTTTCTGGTTTTCAAATAAACACACAACACCGGATTCAACATTAATCATTTTCTCTAAAATTAATTTGAGGGTTTGCTGTGGCATATCAATAATTAAAAAAAATCATTGATTTTTTTTTTTTTTTTTTGGTTTAGAGGATGACAAAAGCATCCTTAACCCACAAAACTGTATTTAAAACCTGGGAAAATGCACAGATGATAACAGTATACTTTCTGCACATTTAATGTCTTATTTTCTCCCCAATTCTTTCATCAGCACAGTAATTCTCAATAATCCTGTTTGTGTTGTTTCTGGTTTCTTAAAAAATATACACATGGGGGAAAGTAACTCATTTAAGATGTGACCAAAGAGTACTTATTAAACTGTTTTGGGGATTTGGGTTTAAATTGAATAATGTTTTGTGTGTGTACTTGCACATGTGTGTTGTTTAAAAAAAAAAAAAAGGTTGCTGGGAAGTGTGTTTTAACTGTGAGTGCTGGGTTTCAGCTATTAGCATAAGAAAAAGTTTTAGTGCGTTTGCCATTGTCTTGAATGAAGAGTTCAGCAAAGGGAAGGAAAGCCGCAAAAGGGTGATGGTCCATTGAGATTCTTCAGCAGCCCCAAGCTCGTCATCTGCCTCTGAAATCTGTGATCGGATATCACTTTTATCTCGCTTTTCCATTCTCTAGCCTTTTTCACACGTTCACTTTTGTCAAGGTTTATTATGTTTTCTTCTCTACAAATCTGTGGAAAATTTAATGAACCAAAAACAGTAGTGAAATAAAGGGGACTTTTTATTCATTAGCACGGGATTGGGACTGATTCCCCTCTTTGGGCAGCCGAGGGCCCCAGGCCTCCTGCAGGCAGCTAGAGGGAGGAGGGAGGGTGGCCCGGCTGCAGGCTGAGGCGGGGACTCCACAGGCCTATGGCCTCCAGGCTGAGCAGCACGGGCGCAGCCCTGCACTCCCGTCCCAAGTGAACTCTGAAAGCTTGTCCGCGATGGCTGTGCTGGTTGAACCACGCCGCAGCCCTCACCCGCCATGTCCTCCTGGATCCTGGCTCAGTGGGCTCGGGGGAGGTGGGAAGGGGGGTGTTGTTTGTATTTCCCAGACTTACAAACCATTTGAGTGCTGGGCCTTCCCTGGGACACAGTTAAGTATCTCCCTTCCTCCAGACCCAGCTCAAACCTGTAATTAAGCAAAGCCCCTGATGTGATTACGCTTTGCTGACTCGGCTGGGTTTGGAGCCATTCCCTCTAGGAAACAGGGTGAACTCTTGCTCTTCCCAGAGGCTTCCTGGGCAGTTTGTGGTGCGCCTCTATTGTACACATGTCCGCCTGTCCCCCTCCTTTGGCTCTCTTCCTCTCCCTTCAGCCATCCATTCTTTCTTTCTTTCTTTTTCTTTCTCCTTCCCCCTTCTCTCTTTTCGTCCCATCCCAATCCCCTCTTCTCTCTGAGTCTCTCCTTTCTCTCCCTCTCCGTTCACTCTCCCAGTCTCCTTTCTTCTCTCTCCCTCCGTTTCCCCCTCCTCCGTTTCCTCCGCCTCCTCTCTCCCTCTCTTTTTTGTCTTTTCTCATCTTTTCCCATCTCTCCCTCCCGTTCCCTCCGCCCCCTCCCCGCCCCCGCGGTCTGGACCTTCCCCTCCCTCCGCGCCGGCTTTTCCGCCCGGCGGAGCGCTGGCGGGCGAGGCCGCGTGTCCGGGCGGCGCCGACCGTGCCGCGGCCGGGGAACATTCCGTGCCCCGAGCGCCCCGGGCCCGCGGCTGCGGCCCTCCCACCTGCGCGCCGGCCTGGTTTGCAGCTCCCGAACAATGGCCACATTGTACCG